AGAGAGAGAGAGAGAGAGAGAGAGAGAGAGAGAGAGAGAGAGAGAGAGAGAGAGCTAAAAGATTGTAGCAAGAAAAATAGAAGCCACATCAAACACAGTGATTCTTTAAACTAAAAGCAAGGAAACAAAATGCGAAAAATTAAATGAACAAATTGCACACAAAGAGGATTGTTTAACAGACTGTCTCACATGAGAGGAAGTGGAACATATTCCATGCTCACATGGAGCTGTTTTCTACTAACAACTCATTTTCACCAAATTGCAATAATGGTTTTGACTGTAACTGATAACTGAGCTCTTATGCACAACTAGCAATTCCAACTTCGAGTTAACAATGATCCCCTCTTGGCCTCGATGAGTGTGAACAACCAGAGTACAGTGTGGGTCAAGCATGTGTCGTCATCAGTCCCTATTACAGCTCTAAGATACCACACGCAGTTAGTGGTAGACAGGATAACACAAAGACTTTTGATCAGAGTTGGAGCTCTGAGTTAGCTTGGTGTGTCCACTGCTTACAGAAAACAGGATTGCCCTTTAAAATCAAGAKGTTGTAATTCAATAACCTGCAGTGGTTACTGATGAGCAATGGGATGGTCTGGAGTCGGAAAGTCGCAGATGGGCCAACTGATATAAAACTGTTTGTCTCTTGAATGTCTGCCTGACTCAGTGACACCTGTTTAAAGAAGGAAAAGCTTTAATCTCAGGGAGGCACTAAACAAGTACAGGAGACAGACAAAGAGACGCAGTCCAAATAGAGGGGAAGTGGAGGAGGCTGATTTCTCTGACTGCTGACTGTGTTAATAACCACAAATCAAAATGAAGGAACTGCCTGCTGAAGGTGACTACTATTGAGTATTATTAAGCACAGATATATAACACAGTATGTATAAATAAAACTGTTTTTTGGCATACTGACACTCCAACAAGTGATTAAGCCCTGACCCCTGGTGTTATGTTGAATTGYATTTCAGAATGTGGGCCCACTGAGTTGACAAAAGGTAGCCTGTGTGCAGCCAAAACAAGCCTCAGCTGACAATATGAGATAATCACAAGGAAGAAAAGAATGGATTCCTGAGCAGATGCAAAGATCCTGATGGTAGAACTCACACTCTGCTGCCACCTGCCTTCAAAGGCTCTGCCAGGGTTACTTTGCTCTTTCTCTCTCTCTTCTTTTGAAAAAGTGAAGCTATACTCCACAACCTCCCTCTACAGATGATGTTARACCTTTTGAAAAGGCCTTGGTTATAATGAACAACATTAAGAGTGGTTGTATGTCATTAGGTGAGAATGCAACATGAGGGGAAAAAACGTGTTTTTCCATCAGGTTTGTTTCACCAGTTAACCAAGGGATGAGTTAAATGAGAAAAAGTCTAATGCAGGCATCTCTAATTACCTGTGCTGAAGCTTTGGCCTTGTCTTCAGAGGACCTTGCATACCAGATTGCCATTTGGGAATGAAGCCTGACTTTAATCACAAAAGCTACAAGCAGGACAGGACTCAAATTCTCACTCCTATCCACTCACATGTAATCAATAAGGGGTGCTTTATCTTTAAAATGTAAAAACAATTGACTAATATGCCTTAAGAATGTCTAACACAGTTGTTCCTCAGTGATGTAGAATGGCTGTATCTGGTCTCTGAGCCATCCCAGAGCCTGGCCAGCCACCGCAGGGTAAGGGGCGCTTATTGGAAAATCAATGGTGTGAACGCTAAGCAAGTTACAGGAAGATGTGGGAAGGAAGGGTTCTTATTGATAAAGCAGGGGAAGGCTTTTGATGTTGCACTAGGGACATGCTCATTGATGGGGCAACCATTGTAGTCCTCAGGCAGAGTGAAGCCTGGGTTTATCTCTGAGGTTTGTTCCAACTAATCACCAATAAAGACATGCATGCATTGCACTCTTTAACAAAAGCACACTTTAATGCCTAAGGTGGCTCAGTAAATACAACGCAGAGCACACAAAATTAAGAAAACRGTTGCTAGCGAGTATTTATATTCATCTTTTTCAACTATCCATTCCAATCCAAACCTACTGCTCATCTAATCTGAATACAAGACAGGATTCTGAGACACATATTTACTGCTCAATGTACAAATGTAGTCCTAAGGCTGACTCATATACCAAATAACTGACTATAGAAAATAAAAAATTAAAATGTGACATCATTAATAAAATTTATATGAAAAATACAATATGAAAATGTATTTGTATTAAAAATGCATTTGTCTAAAGTGGAAATAACTTCATTTAAAAGGGTCATGTTCAGTGAATATCAAAAAAAAAACATTCAAACAAATTAAAAAACTGTAAAAATTATGTGATATATTTATGTTAGATCCATGCATGTCATTCCTAACACTGTGCTCATTATAAATATCCATCAAAAACATTGTTTATTATTGTGTTCTGAAAAGATTCACTCTGTTGTTCTGCTAATGCAGACATAAGGATGCTCCAACTGCAGGAGGCAAAAAAGTCACCTCAGGTC